ACACATGGGGAGAGATCCATAGACATGCGGGAGAGAAAGGGGAGAGACATAGGAGATAACCAAGTCCAACCCAAGTCTGATCTCCGAATGTCGTCCACAGTTCAATCCCAATGTAGAGTGTAAGTCCGATCTGAATGTCGCGTCCAATAAGGCAGAATGCCGTGTCCAAACAATGTCTGCAGTTACCTCTATCCCTATGATAAAGAAGAAGAAGAAGAAGAAGAAGAAGAAGAAGAAGAACTTTGGAGTAGGAGGAGAAGAGGAGAGGAGGAGAAGAAGAAGAAGAAGAAGAAGAAGAAGAAGGAGAGGAGAAGAAGAAGAAAGCTAGACGCTTTCTGCAGTTACCTGGGGACTGGAGAGCCCAGCTATGGCGCTAGCGCAGCTGCAGTCTCAAAATAGCGCAGCCTGTAGTCTCCTCATAGCATAGCAAGTGAAGTTCTGAACCAGCATAACGCTGGATTTCCCCTGGTACCTTCCTTTCGAACTGGGCAATGGCCCAGCTTAAGTAGCGCTGGGCCAGGACTGAAAGCCCACGGCCTTCGACGTGGACCGTTCAGATCCACGGTTCAAATCGCAGGACCAACGTGTGGTTCAGCCCTTGGCCTAAAACGGCCTGCCTGGGTCCCTACCGAACATCCAGGCCCTGTCCAGGATTCAATTTCCTGGTACCTGGCTTTAAACCGGTCCTGTGCAGACGTACCCGGCCTCAACGTCGGCCTGGGTCCGAACAGGTCAAAATCTGTTCGCATACAAAAGAAACGGTCCAAACGTTTTTAGAGGCTCACCCTTTGGGCCTGAATCTGGCCCTGGCCCTAAAACGTGTACCTGGCCACAAAACGGACAACAGTGCACACATTAGAAAAACAGCAACAAATAAATAAATAGAAGACTATAAAAATAATCTAAAGCTGGCGTTTTTCTGATGCAGGGCCAAGTAAAAATGCCATGAGGGTCCCGTGAGGGGCCCGTGTGTAGGCTTTCAGCATGTAATAGTAGGCTCAGTAGGGAGGTGCTTCAGCCGGCTCGGTGGGGAGGTGATGGAGAGGTGCTTCGGCCAGGTCGGTGGGGAGGTGGTGGGGAGGTGCTTTGGTAGGAATTGTGGGGAGGTGCTTCGGCCGGCTCGGTGGGGAGGTGGTGTGGAGGTGGTGGGGAGGTGATTCGGTTGGCTCGTTGGGGAGCTGCTTCGGACGGGTTGGTGGAGAGGTGGTGGGGAGGTGCTTCGATAGGCTCGGTGGGGAGGTGCTTCGGCTGGCTCAGTGGGAAGGTGGTGGGGAGCTGCTTCGGCTGGCTCGGTGGGGAGGTGGTCGGGAGGTGCTTCGGTAGGCTCGGTGGGGAGGTGGTGGGGAGTCCCGGCTCGGTGGGGAGGTGTTGGGGATGTGCCTCGGCCGGCTCGGTGGCGAGGTGCTTTGGCCGGCTCAGTGGGGAGATGGTGGGGAGGTACTTCGGTAGGCTCGGTGGGAAGGTGGTGGGGAGGTGCCTCAGCCGGCTCGTTAGGGATGTGGTGGGGAGGTGCTTCGGTAGGGTCGGTGGGGAGTGACTTCGGCCGGCTCGCTGTGGAGGTGATGGGGAGGTGCTTCGGCCAGGT